AGCTATTGCCGGAGCATTTATCATTGAAAATATTTTTGCCATTCCTGGCATGGGCAAACTTTCTTTTGAAGGTTTAGTAGCTAGAGATTACCCGATGGTGTTTACGGTGATGTTACTTTCGGCAGTACTTACATTAATAGGGAATTTAGTAGCCGATATTTTGTATGCCGTGGTTGATCCGCGTATTTCTTTTAATAAATAATTGTGAACTAATATGTCAGCTCAAAATATAAAACAGATTAGCGAAACGCTCGATCAAAGCTATAGCGCAATTGTAAAGCGTCAGTTCAGAAAAAATAAAATGGCTGTTTGGTCGTTACGCTTCATTTTTGTGATTGTTTTTATTGGATTGTTTGCCGATTTTTTGTCGAACGATAAGCCAATTGCCTGTAGCTATAAAGGAAACACCTACTTCCCAATTGCAAAAAGTTATGGTGTAAGTTTAGGTATTGCTAAATGGCCCAAAGATATAGCCAACGTGGATTGGCATTCATTAAACTATGATTGGGCTTTGTTGCCGCTGATTCCCTATTCACCGCAATATCAAGATTTGAAAAACGATAATTTTAAAGGTCCATTTGATGAACAAGATGTTCCTTCTTTCCGATTTAAACATTTTCTAGGGACCGATAAACTTGGTCGTGATGTAATGAGTGGTATGATTCAGGGAACGCGTGTTGCCATGATGGTAGGCGTTATATCTATGTCTATCGCAGTTGTTATTGGCATATTGCTTGGATCGTTAGCCGGTTATTATGGCGATACTAAATTGAAAATGAGCCGTATTCGAATTTACATGAATCTCTTGTTTTTTGCTTTAGGTATTTTCTATGCTTTTATGGTGAGAAGTTATGTATTGTCTGATGCGCTTTCTACGAGTGTTGGTTCATTCTTTATTCAGTTGCTCATTAGTTTATTTGTGTTTTTTGTTTTCATGATTATTGCTAATGTATTGGTAATGCCATTGAAGAAAATTCCATTCCTTGGAACACAGGTAAGCATTCCTATGGATATCCTTATTTCGCGTTTGATTGAAGTAATGGTATCTGTACCAACGCTTTTGTTGTTGCTTTCTATTTCTGCCATTATGAGTAAGCCTTCTATTTTTGTAACTATGATTGTTATTGGTTTCTTGGGATGGACAGGTATAGCGAAATATGTACGTGCAGAGCTTCTTAAGGTTAGAAGTTTAGAGTTTATTGAAGCGGCACAAGCTTTAGGGTTAAGCGAAGCAAGAGTGATATTTAAACATGCTATTCCGAATTCTTTAACTTCTGTTTTGATTACTATTGCTTTTGGTGTTGCCGGAGCTATTCTTACAGAATCGAGTCTTTCGTTTTTGGGTATTGGTGTTGCTCCAGAGGAAGTTACATGGGGTAGTTTATTGTCTGCCTCGCGAAGTGATGTTTCGGCATGGTGGTTAGCTATTTTCCCAGGTTTTGCCATTTTCATTACAGTAACTATTTTCAATCTAATTGGAGAAGGATTGGCGGACGCTATGGATCCTCGATTGAAACAGTAAACGGCTCAGTAACATTTGTTCCGGCTTGTTTTGGAAAAATGCACTATTTTCGATTTGTTCGAATATTATCTTCAATTCATTAAACAATTATACATGATGCGCTTATCTCTTATTTTATTAGTATCTGCACTTGCATTTTTTTCTTGTTCGAACGGACAAGGCAATCAGAAAATTTCTGTTGAGCAATTCGAAAAAAAATTGACAGACGCTAAAGATGCCATTCTCTTGGATGTTCGTACTCCCGGTGAGTTCAACGAACGCCATTTGAACAACGCCACCAACATCGACTATAATGGAAGCGATTTTGAACAACGCATTGCATCGTTAGATAAAACTAAACCCGTTTTCGTGTATTGTCTTTCAGGCGGAAGAAGCACAGGTGCAGCCAATTTGTTGGCATCTAAGGGCTTCAAAACAGTTTACAATATGGAGGGCGGTATCTTGGCTTGGACTGGTGCAGGAAAGCCTGTTGAGAGCGGTGCGTCAAGCAGTGGCGGTTTATCTATGGATGATTATTTAAAAGCGGTAACGAAAGATAAATTGGTGTTGGTGGATTTCAACGCTACTTGGTGCGGTCCGTGTAAAAAGCTAAAACCAATTGTAGAAAAATTGGCTAAAAAGCATAGTGCATTGGTGGAGTTGAAAACAATCGATGTTGACCAAAATAATGCATTGGCTGATGCTATGCATATCAACAGTATTCCATTGTTGATACTATACAAACAAGGCAAAGAGGTATGGCGCTTTATGGGTTTAGCCAGCGAGCAAGAAGTAGAGAATGCGATTTTGGATAATGCTAAGTAAGTATTTTACTGCTTAGTTTTTCGCTGGTGGGCGTTAGATAAACTATACTTCAGTTTCAAAATAACGGAATTGTGTTTTGCCAGCTCAATCATTGAGGTTGCTTTTGCAGTTTCGTTTTTCATTAATAAATATGAAAGATTTGTTTCCTGCAGAATATCAAGTGCAATGCGTTACTGGATTTCAAGATTTGGTGTCAACGCCTTTTCATGGCGAAATAAATGCGATTTGTTGGCAGCGAGAACTAACAGGAGATTTTTCAGAGATTGTAAGCAAGATACCGCTAACCGAAAATATATTGGAAGTCCACCAAGAACAACTTCGAGAACTTGCTTTAAGTGAAGCCGGACAACTTGCTCGGGAAGTTCTTTTAAACGATTTGAAACTCTTGACAGCGCATGGTGCCTCACCGGTCCTAAATTTAATTAAGTGCTACGACAGGGATGGTGCCATCCCCTTTTTTCCAACCGATGTGTATTCATTTCATGTAGATCGCTCGCCCATACCTACCGATACCTTTCTGTGCACCTACTATGGCGATTCCAGCGAAATTGTCCCCAATGCCGAAGCCGAGCAAAAAGTGTTGATTCCCGAAATTCGCGCAGAACTCAAAAAGCTATATGATGGATCCGATGAAGGGTTTGAAAACTTTCTAACAGAACATTTTTTTGATTTACATTATCAAGCAAAACCTGATGCACACCTCATCAATTTAGGCTTAGGTCACCTATGGCGATTAGCCATTGATCATCCTGAACTTCAAGTGCCGCCTTGTGTTCACCGTGCACCTTTGGAAACAAGCAGACAAACAAGGTTGATGTTGATTTGTTGAATACAAATAAATGCAACGTAGCCATATTCCTTTTTTTAATCCTTTTGGGCGTGATACCGCGCTTTCCGTTTCAATCTTTCTCCCGCTATGAAGCGTTACAAAGGATTTTCACTTCAATCACGCACGCGGGCATTGAGGTTCAATGGAGAACTGTTCTATCATCGTCATTCCCGCACGCGGGACTCTCATCAATATAACTAAGCTCAAACACAGATTCCTGCATACGCGGGAATGACGGTCGATTTTGTTGATGGTCGGCATCCCTGCCACAGGTGTTCGAAAGAAACTACAAGTAGTTTAAAGTAGTTTAAAAGTAGCGAAGTAGATAGAAGCAATGTATCCGTATTTGCTGTTTTTTCGCTACATGAATGCAAAAGCCATTTTAGAATTAATTTCTTCCGACTTATTANGGTTTGACATCGAAAAACGATTATTCGTCTTCACTCAATTTTTCCAAAGTGAAATCATCCACCTTGTGGCTTTTGAACAATCCGTTACGCACCTGAAAATCAGATACGGCACTGTCTGTAATGTAATTATAAATACCATCTACCGGAATATTGTATTCGTGGTAGTTAATGAGTTTTTGTGCAATCCAAATATCTTCCGGTCTTGACCCCACACCCACATTTTTTCCTTTCAACAAAGCCGAAAATTTCTCCTTTTCTTTCGCTTCAATCAACACACCCGGAGTAATATCTTTCTCTTGGATGATATGGATGTCATCATCGCCTAAGCCAATAGATTTAAGCAAAGTAGACTCTTTTAATTTGGTTTCTTTCAATTGAATCGACTTCAATAAGCTTGTTGCTTGTAAATAATCGGCACTCACATTCGCAGCATCCAATTTTTTCGGATTAATACCTTTTTCCATCCAAATATGCTGCGCAATTTTATTGTATTGAGCCGCTTCGGTAATGTAATTGTGCAGTAATTCTTTGTCGTGATAATTATAGTCGATGCTATCGTTGGTCAACACCAACACATCCGCTAAATGCGATGTACGCTGATAGTGCTGATAACGTTTATACAAAAACAGCAAAAGCAAACCAATAAGTACAACAATAGCAATCGTTTTAAGCGGGCTGCTCTTCTTTTTAGTCGGCAAAATGTCCTGTTCTTTACTCATGTCTCAAACATACTAATTTTAGTGCATGTAACATTCGGTTTTGGCCGGAAATCGAAAATTTATTCCATTTCAGCCACCGTTAACGTTTTTTGAAGAATCTAAGGTTTTGCATTTCTCAAAATTCAATTAGGTTTGGAGAAAATAGCGGAAATGAATAATCTGGGAAAATATATGGAAGGCGGCACAGAAGAGGTAATTGAGAAATTTGCCGGTGGCATGATGAAATTCGATAACAAGTTCCTCGAGCAACGCAGAGTGTTCTTGTGGGGTGCGGTTACTGACGAATCAGCCGAGCGCGTTGTCAATCGCCTACTGTTCTTGGATGCCAACGAACCGGGCAAAGAAATCAACTTCTACATCAACTCTCCGGGCGGGGTGGTAACTTCGGGTATGGTGATTTACGATGCCATGAAAATGATTTCATCGCCTGTAAATACTATCTGTATGGGCTTAGCGGCTTCTATGGGTTCTATTTTGTTGAGCGGTGGCGAAAAAGGCAAGCGTTTAATTTGGCCAAGCGGACGAGTAATGATTCACCAGCCTTCAATTGGCGGTATGTACGGACAAGCCACCGATATCGAAATCACGGCTTTGGAAATCCAAAAAACCAAAGAAATGAGCGCTAAATTATTGGCCGATAACTGCGGACAGTCCTACGAAAAAGTGATGAAAGATTTCGATCGCGATTTTTGGATGAGCGCACAAGAAGCAGTAGCCTACGGCATTTGCGATGGCATAGCCGATAAACTCATTTAATTATTTACGATTTTTTGATTTAAGATTTAGGAATACGTCATGCAGTAATGTGTGACGTATTTTTGTTTATGGTTGGCATCCCTGCCACAAGTGTTCGAAAGACTTATGACGAGTTTACATTTTTCCGTTGCGCAGTTGCACACTACCGCTTACTCCGAAAACCATTGAGCAAGGCAAATACAAAGTGTGCTTGGAGTATCATTTGAAGAATTGCATGGGGCCTTGTCAGGGTTTGCAAACCCTTGAAGAATACGATGAATCGATTGAACAAATTCGTTCGATTTTGAAACGCAATTTCGGTAGTGTGGTATTCTACTTGAAAAAGAAAATGAATGAATATGCCGCCAACATGGAATTTGAAAAGGCGCAGGAATTCAAAGAGAAAATCAATGCGCTCGATACGTTCCAAAGTAGGTCTACCATTGTAAATCCAAACTTATCGAATTTGGATGTGTATGGCTTTGCGGAAACGGATAGCTTGGCGTTTATCAGTTATTTCAGAATTGCGAGTGGATCGATTGTGCAGGCCAAATCCTTTGAAATTAAAAAGGTGTTGGATGAGTCGAAAGAAGAAATTATTCTGACGACCATTATTCAAACTAGTGAGCTAGAAGAGAATAAAAATATTGAGCTCATTCTTCCTTTCCCGATTGAATTGCCTTTTACGCAAGTGAAAGTAACAGTGCCATTGATGGGCGATAAAAAGAAGTTGATCGATTTATCTACAAAAAACGCCTTGTATGCGAAGCAAGAACGCGTGAATCAGAATTTAACTTCGGAAGAAAAGAATCCATCGTTCCGCATTATGCGGACGCTGAAGCAAGATTTGAAATTACAAGACATTCCGCGCCATATCGAATGTTTTGATAACTCTAACTTTCAAGGAACAAATGCCGTTTCATCGATTGTTGTGTTCCGCGATGCGAAGCCTTCGAAAAAAGATTATCGCTTTTTTAATGTGAAAACAGTGGTGGGGCCCGATGATTTTGCGACTATGGAAGAGGCGGTATACAGACGTTACAAGCGCATGACGGAAGAAGGCAATCCGTTGCCGAATCTGATTATTATTGATGGTGGCAAAGGACAGTTATCGAGTGCTGTAAACAGTTTGAAGAAGCTCGATATTTACGGCAAAGTTCCTATAATTGGCATTGCTAAACGCTTAGAGGAAATTTATTTCCCGGAAGATGAGTTGCCTTTGTACATCAATAAAAAATCTGAGAGTTTAAAACTGATTCAAAAACTACGCGATGAAGCGCACCGCTTTGGCATTACTGCACATAGAAATAAACGCAGTAAAAATTTTACCACTTCTGAATTAGAGAGCATTAAAGGTGTAGGACCAAAAACCATTGAAATGTTGTTGACCCATTTTAAATCCATCAAGAAACTGCGCGAGGCCAAAGAAGAAGAGATTGTGGCTATTGTGGGTGTTGCCAAAACAAAAATTGTATTAGCGCATTTGCAACAAAGCGAGCAATAAATTTTTGGGTGTAAAAGTTTTCATTTAACTTCGGTAGCTAAACACCCCAATACCCCATGTTACAATATCTTCGCGATGTATTTGAATTGGCATTCCCGAATAACTGTTTGGAATGCAGAAAGACATTATTCAATTTTGAAACTACCATTTGCAGCTCGTGCTTGGAATCGTTACCCCGCACTCACTTTGAGAAGCAGGCCGACAACACCATTGTTCGTCTCTTTTGGGGGCGGTGCGAATTGGAGATGGCGACCTCCTTATTTTATATCAATAAACACAACAAGGTGCTCCATTTGATGCATCAATTGAAGTACAGAAACAAGCCTCTTGTGGGGCAACGTTTAGGTAAAACGCTTGGATTAAAATTGATTGAAGAAGGAAGTTTGTTTTCAGGCATCGATATGATTGTTCCGGTTCCGTTGCATTGGAAAAAAGAACAACAACGCGGATACAATCAAGCACTTCAGATAGCTTTAGGCATTCAGCAAGCCACGCAATGGAAAGTGGAAGAAAATAATTTGGTACGTGTTAAAGAAAATATTTCGCAAACCAAAAGAACGAAATACGAGCGCTGGGAAAATGTATCCGAAATCTTTGAAGTGAAAAATCCGGAGGCCATCCAACACAAACATATTCTGTTAGTAGACGATGTGATTACTACCGGTGCAACGCTAGAAGCCTGTGTCCATGCACTTAAAAAAGAGGAAGGCGTAAAAGTGAGTGTGGCGAGTTTGGCAACCGTGGAAAGATAAGCTGAAAAAGTTTTTATTACTTTTGCCATTACAATCCCAGTCATGAAAAAGCACACTTTGTTTTTCCTTTTAATCCTCACTTCGCCACTCTTTGCTCAACAAATCATTATTGACGATTCTGTTGTTTTGAAACGTGGCATTTATCAAACCTTTGAAGAATTCAAATTCAATAGACCGAGTATTATTTGTGATTTTGAGGTAGACAGTTTTCCAATTCTAAGTAGTGTTGTGCCGAAAAAAACACATACATCATACCGAATAGTTATGGATGAAGAATTAGCCAAAACAATACACAACGACTTTGGTTTTTGTGATGGCAAAAATGTATTCATAAAACTGCAAAACATGAATACTAGAGATACTAAGCAGGCAAACAAATACAGCAAATTTATTGAGTTAGGTGTGTACTCTTATTTTAATGAAGCATACTCTTCAAAAAATATTTATGGCGGAATTGCAGGAGCTGTAATTGCTGAAGCAACTTCAGGGAAGACTGAATTCACTAACGAAATCATTACACAAATCATTGATATGAATACTGGGGAGATTTTTACATTAAACCGAGAAAACCTAAAAATTGCGTTGCAACGCGACAAAGAATTACAATCATTATTTGTAAACAACACCCAATCTCCACTTATTGATTTCCTGCAACGCTATAACCATCAACATAAAACCGATGGCATATACATACTCGAATCAAAAATGACTATTTCGGAAGCAAATGTCATTATTAAAAAATGCCCGATAGACAGTACAATCGAAACCTATTTAACACGTATCTATTCTAGATTTAGCAAAAACGATGCCTTCCGACATGTGATTATCGACCGAAAAAACTACAGCAACGGAACACTTAAATCGCTCGGCATTAGTTTGCAGCACAATTTTAATGGCATCGAGGAATACCGATATAAAGTAGGCACTTGGTATTATTGTTATGAAGACGGTTCCTTAAAAGAAGAAATCGAGTTCGACATCAACGAGAAAAAACTTGCTACTTCGAAATACGATAAAGAAGGCAACTTAATTAAATAAGTGAAGGCTTTTCTCGATACACTTTCCACAGCATTTCACCAAACAAACTATTTGCCCAAGCAAACCAATGGCGCGTAAAATTTTGCGGATTATCTTTCTTGAAACTCTCGTGCATAAAACCTTTTCCAGCATGTGTGCCCTTCAACATCTGTAAACATTTTCGAATTTCTTGTTCATCTACAGAAGTCATTGCTCGGGCTATAATACCTATAGGCCAAATCATTTCGCCTTTGGTT